TATACTAATCATCACCCTCTCTAGTTTAGATAAATTTCACTAGTTGCAAATCACTTCAACGCATAAAGATTCTCCTATATTTTTACCATTTCAACCCTTAAGACTCAACTAGGCTAATTATCTCTTATTAAAGATTTAGTTCATTTAACAAAGTGTTGGAGACTTAATCAAAATATTTAGTGCATCTTCTGTTTTATATACTTGTTTTTCAATTATGCTATGCGTATTTTGTTTCATAAATTAGCATGATACCTTTTTGAATTTTCATTTTAGAGATTTTCATTATGTGTCCTTGTTGGAATCTTTTATAGGGTAGTTTCGCAACATGACATGTTTTTCCCTTTTTCATACTTTGATTAGTGTTATGTCCCTTATTAAATACTTAGTTTAAAAATCGACCATAACTCAAGATTTTTACCTAATCTTCACCTTATTGATCTTAGACAATTCACACAATAATTTCACATGAAATCCTTATTCATCTCAATATTTCCCCACACTAGTTCAATTATCTTCAAACTAGTATAAAACTGATTTAAGGATGTATGTAATTGTGTCTTTCCTTGGTTTTCGCAACTAAATTCTACTGTGTTCAACCTATTTCAACATATGAACCAAAGCCCTCACTCATAATGCAAAACACAAATCTCGTACATAACTTGAGATCAAGTTTGACCTAAATAAGCTTCAATCAACTCAACATAAAAAAATTTCGCCATTCCTAGTCTAACGCATAATTTCAATATATACATCATTTCCAACAAGTCCATCTAACCCACCTAGCACACAAAAGCAATAAGAAAGCATAAACGAACATGTTTTGCTGATTTTTAATTTTTAACGCTCGACGAACACGCAAAAGCAGTAAAAAAAATAATTGATCATACAAACCACTCCCAAACTTAAACTGTGCATTACCTCACCATACAAGAATATAACAATAATAACGCGGGAAACTGAAGATTCCCCTACTCAGTCTGTTGGTGGTGGTGGAGGTGGAGGTGGAGGCTTGCATGCAAAAATCTCCCACATCATGTCATAAGTCTACAAAAATGCACGCGGAAGAATCTGGATGTTGACATTAGTATGCATCGTGGTTGAGATGTGCAACACGTCGTGTTTAGATTTGTGATGGAAGAAAGCAGAAGACAGTAGAACGTATGAGACTACTATTCACGAAAATATATTTCGAATAAACCAGACCGCAAGTGTATGGTTCATTAATGGTAATAAAGTGGATTTTTTTAGTCCGAGTATCGTCCCACAAGAATTGATTAGTTCTAATTCTAATTATCGTGATCTTAACCGAAATAATAAGAATGGGAATGTTTGTTTTGATGGATTTAGAACTAAATTAATGATGTAGATGCAATTATGAATGCTTTAACTAAACTGAATGAGATTTATGTCGAATGTAAGTTGAAGTTTTTTTTTTTAATAAATGATGAATGTACTAGGATCACGAATCCCTATGTAATAATATTTTTAAACTCAGTTCTGCACTTTGACACATGATTGAAATATTGAAGAATCAATGTTCCTAAATTATTTAACAGTCTCTCTCGAGTAAAGTCAAACATATTCTAATATGTGACCCGACTATATTTTTATGACGGATGCGAACATATAAGAATGTATGAGTTTTTATGAACACTTAAAGATTCACACAAGGCATAGCGGTATATTTATATCTCATATCGGACCTTATGACAATTTATTTATGTCGAACTTATTCCCCTTCTTTCGAATGCATGAAATAGGCCACCACACTCACACAATTAACGTGCACAATAATCGTGGAGAAAATAAATCTATATAAACAATTCAAATATCCAAAACGTGTTTTTATAGTCAAGAATGTAAAACTAAAAAATAAAAATCATATTACATGGTTCATCGTTCTCCTAGTACAGAATTAACCTAGCCAAGCATGGTGGAAAGAAGAAAATAAGAAAGAATACTGAAGAATCGACCTCACCCAATAGAATCTAGAATTGATTCTCATGTTCTTGGCTTCCTCTATGCTCTAAAAGCTCTTCAAATTATGCTATAATGTGTGATCCTTATTTTTGGACGGCCCTAGGGTTTTAAAAGACGTCCCAAGATTCGTTTCCATAAGATTTGTATTCAAATTAGGAAACCAGAAAATTCCCCCAATTTGGCTTGGGCAGGCGCCCAGTTGAAAATGGGGCGGCCGTCCAGGCTTAGAAAATGGCCCATGTTAATGAGGTTGAGGGTTGGGCGGCCGCCCAACCAATATAATTGGGCCGCTGCCCAGTTATAAAACTTTTGCAAATTTTCTTTTTCGCAATTTTCTTCATTCTTTCTTCCATCTTGGTCCTCCACATCAAATTACTTCAATTTTAGTGCTTCAATTTTTACTCAAATGCATATTAGTCCCCAAAATTCCATCAATTGGCCAATTTATCCTTCATTCTTTTGTAATTGCTTAGAAACAGGTTCAAAACTGAAATAAGATAAAATTAACCTAAGTTAAGTAAAATTTAATAATAAAACGACACAAAAGCTAAGTAATATGGCCCCAAATAAGTGCACAAAAATGTACTCATCAACTACTATTGTACNAAATAAAAATCATATTACATGGTTCATCGTTCTCCTAGTACAGAATTAACCTCGCCAAGCATGGTGGAAAGAAGAAAATAAGAAAGAATACTGAAGAATCGACCTCACCCAATAGAATTCTTGAATTGATTCTCATGTTCTTGGCTTCCTCTATGCTCTAAAAGCTCTTCAAATTATGCTATAATGTGTGATCCTTATTTTTGGACGGCCCTAGGGTTTTAAAAGAAGTCCCAAGATTCGTTTCCATAAGAATTGTATTCAAATTAGGAAACCAGAAAATTCCCCCAATTTGGCTTGGGCAGGCGCCCAGTTGAAAATGGGGCGGCCGTCCAGGCTTAGAAAATGGCCCATGTTAATGAGGTTGAGGGTTGGGCGGCCGCCCAACCAATATAATTGGGCCGCTGCCCAGTTATAAAACTTTTGCAAATTTTCTTTTTCGCAATTTTCTTCATTCTTTCTTCCATCTTGGTCCTCCACATCAAATTACTTCAATTTTAGTGCTTCAATTTTTACTCAAATGCATATTAGTCCCCAAGCCTCCATCCTTTGGCCAATTGATCTTTCTTTATTTTCCAATTACTTAGAAATAGATACTAAACTGAAATAAGATAAAATTAACCAAATTTAAGTAAAAGTCAATACTAAAACAACACAAAAACCTAGTAATATAGTCTTAATAAGTGCACAAAAATGCACATATCAGATTGCACGGCTTACATTGAGCCTTTGACGTGTGCTCATCTCTTTAACATACAATTTGGCTCTGCAATCGACTTTAAGCTAAGCATGTTTGATGATATCATGAATGCNAATATGGCCCCAAATAAGTGCACAAAAATGTACTCATCAACTACTATTGTACGCTTAAGAAAAATAATTCTGCTGCAAGACTCAGATAGTCGGCCTATGACACCATGAATCACGTGACCTCAAGTCGAACCAGCGAGCAGCTCGCTCAAGTTAACACTTCTACACGTTAGGCTACATATAAAGAATCTGAGTGGACATTTTAATTTAAACATTATTACATACCTTCCATTGGTATTTGTTTTTTGCAACTCATATAAATATGAACTTTCAATTTTACCATTTATTTTATACCATATTTAAATTACATTTTTCCTCAAGAATATAATTATGTGGAAGAAATGAAATCAAGAAAAGAGGCTTGAAGGACAAATCACGGGAACGAAGCATGTCAAAAAGAACGTCGAGGCATGCATTAGACCTCTCTCGAAGCCTCGGAGGCTTTTGTCCAACTTTATATTATGTTAGATATTTTTCATCATTTTGCATGTGTAATCTTTTGTTTTGCGAATGTTTTACCACCCCAACTATTGTTTGTCGCTACGCAACGGGGATCGACCTACCAGGTCAGGTCGCGGAGATCGAGGGGGCAGCGCCCCCCGTGGGGGCTCGAGGGCAACGCCCTCGAATGAGAATTTTATTTTTCAGAAGTCTTTGAATAGGTATGTTTCTTCCAACAGATGTGTTCATTCATTTCAAGGGACACACCTATTCAAAAGGTTGCCTCAATTTCTATATATTTTGGGCGAATTCTCATTTGCAAAACATATTAAAATTCGTTATTTTCTATTATTCTCTATTTTCTCTTGGCATCATGAGTTTCGTTATAGAGTGTTTTCTTGGTTTGATCAAATAGTCACAGTTTGAATCAAACGCCTCCATTGTATCCTGAGAGAGATTTTCTATCATACCCCAATCGTGACTTTGTTGGATAGGGGAGAAACATCTCTTAAAAGATAACGATTTTCGTGTCTTGGTGTTCATTAGTTCTTTCTAGATTTTATTACATATTTCCCAACATATTAGACCTTTTAAAAATAAAATTACATGATTGAAAATAAGTCAGGGCAGGCATTTCTCTTGCTCATCTGTCATCTCCAAATTAAACTAATAATATTAGTGTTGTGGAACAGAAATTCTTGGTCAAGAAAATGACAAGTAATGGAAATCTAGAAAGCAGAGACAATGATATAATGTCCATTACTCATCAATCCAGAAATATGGAATATGGAAGAAATACAGAACAAATTAGTTGTTGAATCTATCTTTGGTTGATCAATGTGTGATATTCCGAATCCTCAAAAATGGGACTATAGAAATGCATTCAATCTCTGGCTTAGCTTATTTCTAGGAAGTAAGCCATAAAATTTGTTGGTAAGAAAAAACAGGAAACCTGCAAATTCTTTTACATCTCTCCTAGAATTAAAATAGAGTCAAACTGCCCCCAAGAGAGAGAGACCAACGAATACATTCTCTCTCTCTATATATTTCATCCTACCTTACATTTTTGTCATCCGCCTTAGTTAGTTGGTTTAAATACATATCAACTCTTGGCATCCACATTTTGCTTCCACATTTCACCTCTAAATTAAGCACTATTGTGAAAAATGGCAACATATAGGCTGGAAAGAGGTTCTTTTCTCTTCATTTTCTTGTTTCTTGCGGTCATTTTCTTGGCAGAGTTTTCACAGGGGGATGAAAAACCAATTGGAACAAAACTAGAGATGATTCACAGAAACAATTTCCGGCGTGCCAAAGGGATGCCACCTATAACTCGATTTGAGCACCTCAGACAGTTACTTGATCGTGATATTATTCGCCATCAAAAAAACAGAAATCGACGACAAGCCCTGGAGTGTGGCAATGCCCAACAAACCTGCACAAACAATGTTTCTGGGGATATGAAAATGTACTCGGGAGCTGATTTTGGGGTAGGGGAATACTACGTGTCCTTGTCGGTTGGATCCCCTGCACAAAAAGTTGTCCTGATAGCTGACACAGGGAGTGACTTGACTTGGGTGAAATGTAATTATTGGTGCAATGGCACTAGCTGTGGGGAAAAATTTCGAAAGCTGAGAGTTTTTCATGCGGATCAATCGTCGTCTTTCAATACCGTGCCCTGCTCTTCAGAAATGTGCGAGAATGAGCTTATAGATCTCGCCTCTCTTCCTGAACAGTGCCCTTCTCTCCAAAGTCCTTGCGCCTACGAATACAGGTAAATATGCGTTTACTTGTTTTTTTTTTCCACGTGGATCATAATAACATAGCAAGGCTCTAAAATGCGTAATGAGTTTCGGTTGAACATCAAGCATTATAAGTATATGCGTAATTATGTATTTTTCAATTTTTTATATAATTATAAATATTCTAAACTAATAAATAAATAGAATAATTTATTATTTGAACTTTATACATATTATTCAAATTTTAAAAAATATATATTGCTCAAAATTATAAATACTACAATTACGTGAACTTTATACTTATTATTTAGTTTTTCAACAAAAATATATTACTCAAAATCATAAATACTACAATTACTTGGTAATCGATTTCTACCGTTAGATTACAATTAGATTGGACACAAACACGATCTTAAAAAACCCTAAATTTTGTTTTCAACTCTTTATCGAATTTTAATTCAATCTCCTCTTCATCTAAGTTATCTTTCGTATTATCCAATACAAAATCATCTTCATTGAACTCCCTTATTTCAACTCGAAATTTTTTATTACCTCTTGTAAATGGTAATATATCGCTATTAATCTCTTCTTCATTATAACCATCAACAATTCAAGATTGGGCATTACTAGCATCACTTGTTAGTAAAACTTGAGGAAAATCGAAGAAGAAGCTGGTTCGGGGTTCCATGTAGATAGTTTTCAACTCTATGCAAATTTTGCTTTGATTTTTGATTTTTAATTTTTCTAAATGTCAAAATCCTACATATTGCTATATATAATTCATGGGCTTTGGTGACTTGGACTAATTTGATATTTATTGGGCTCAATTTACCTTTTTAAGTTATAAAAGTGGGTTGGACTATGCTACACTAATTTGTGACACAATTTTTAACACAAATACGTGCATATTTTGGCATTTAAGCTTGCATGTGCAGTCAATGAAATAGATTGATCGCATTATTACGTGCATACCCCATATACGAGACTTTTCAAAAACTCATCGATCATATGCAGGCATATGTGAAGCATATACGTTCGTTTTAGAACATTGTCACGTAGTATTTCTTATGAGGGGTGATTGTTGGAAAATTAATGCTATATGTATAAGATAGATAAATGTGTGGATATGAGAGAAATTTATTGACTTTATCATTTAATGTCACCTCATAAGATGACCCACTGGATACATTTAGCATTACTCTTGTTGGAAATGTGAACAAAATTCTCAATCCGACCACATGGGAGATGGTCTTGGATTTATAACATCTAAAAGGCTAATTCACATACCCAAGTCCGAATGCAGGATCGGGATTTGATCTCAATTTGATAAAGAATAATCATATGAACAATTAAAGCATTTTAAGAAACCATTAAGCTTAGCCAGACACCTACCATGGTACTCAAGTTCTACATTACTTCTTATTTGCTTGGATAATCACATATATAAACTCAAAATGTCTACAAATTTCATCTCAGAAAACATATCTTGATCTTCCTTTGACTATGGTTGTTAAAACTAGGTACTTGAGCGGAGAGCCTACGCGTGGAATCTTTGCTAATGAGACAATAACATTTGCCCAGACGAATGGCGAAGAGGCAAAAATCCTCAACATGTTAGTTGGATGCAGTAACCCTTCCGATTTTGAAAATTACGAGGGGGCTGATGGTGTCCTAGGGCTTGGATACAACAACTATTCCTTGGCACTCAGAGCTGTTAATAAATTCGGAGGCAAGTTTTCGTACTGTCTAGTCGATCATTGGAGCACCCAAAACGTGTCAAGCCATCTCATTTTCGGTTCCCACGAAAGCATAGAATCTATTAAAACACTCAACGGAACGCAACGGACAGAACTCGTCCTAAGAAACAGTTCAGGCTATGGTGTAAATATAAAGGGAATTTCTGTAGGCACCAAAATGCTCAAAATCCCAGATGAAGTGTGGGATGTGAAGAGTGGTGGAGGGATGACGCTTGATTCCGGTACATCCCTAACTTTCTTGACAAAACCTGCTTATGATCCTGTAATGGCGGCCCTAACGCCGTCGTTAAAGAATTTTGCAAGATTAAATCTCACTGGACAGCCCGAATTCTGCTTTGATTCCAAGGGATATAATGAATCTTTGGTGCCAAGATTGGCGATTCATTTTGCAGATGGAGTACAGTTTGAACCCCCAGTAGAAAATTATGTGATTGATGTGGCTGATGGGCAAAAGTGCCTTGGGTTTGTTCAAATGACTTGGCCTGATCAATCTATTATTGGCAACATCATGCAACAAAATCACTTCTGGGAATTTGACCTTGCAAATGGTAGACTGACTTTTGGTAGCTCCTCCTGCACCTAGATTTATTTAGCCAATATTGTGTTTAAATTAACCAATAACTAGGCTTTTTAATTTACATTCCCTTCTGGGCTTGCCCTCAGATTTTGGGGCCCTACAAATATGTAAAAATATTATTTTTATTAAATAAATATTCAAAGTTATTAAATTTACTCTTCTGAAATTTTTGATAGAAAATCAACTATGATATTATCCCAATCAATTTGGTTTTAAAATACCTGTTTTAATTATGACAAATTCATTCAACATTTTTGTAACATTGTTGACAAAAAGAAGGGTTTTATCAACTTCATTTTTGAGAATCTCCTCTTAGCAAATGCAACTACAACTATAACTGAATATAGCCATTAATGTTATAAGAAACAATTGTAATTGAATATAGTCAGCAATGTTTATAAGCATTCCACACATTTGAAAAATAGTCCATCATTTTATACCGGCCAGAATGCTGTACTTCAACAATAGTTCTTATCTATTAAGGAACGGCAAAGAAAGTAATTGAAGGGCATTGCTCTATTACCTCTCCATCTCATTCTCTGGTTTTTAGATGATTCAGTTATAAATCTTTCTACGGATATTACATTGTTGTAATGCTGCTTCTTCTGTTCTCATCAGAGAGGAATGAGCCCATTATTAATTCATTCTCCTTTGGTTCCACACTCGGGAAAAAGAAAGTCGGTGACCCACATGGCCCTCACTGAGCCCATTATTAATCCATTCTCCTTAAAACTCATTATCCTCGACATGAAGGAAAGAGTAAAGTTATTCAACATCACTTGTATCAAATATTAGTTTAGATGACGATTGCATGATAATAACTGATAGACTCCCTTAAATGAAAAGTCAAATGATTCTTTTGAGGCGTTTTAGTACCAATAGTGCTAGATAACATTATTCTCAAGGAAAAGCAAGATGGTGAAGGTGAGGCCACGACTACATACAAGAGGGCAGAAAGTGAACCCGCACCACAGGTATATGAACTGCGCAAGATAGAAGACGTCCTGCAAGTAGCAGCACAGCCCCTCGATGAGGTGCACAGGATAGACAATGGTTCTGTGCAAGTTGCGATGGCACTACTAATTGAAAGCACGGGATAGAACATAGTCTTTTGCAAGCTGCAAGCGCCACCGGATGAGATTCATGAGATAGAAGATAGTTATGTACAAACTACGATGACACCGCCAACTTAAGTTCATGGAATAAAACATGAGACATTTCACATGAATCATATACAGAGATGCACGAGGATAGAAGATGGTCTATTGACACTACTAATTAATCTGTGACATTTCGATAGAAAATAAAACGAACCCGCACAATTAGTGTTTAGCTGAGGTGAAAGGGAGCTTCTAACTGTATTTACTTTAAAGAAAGCAAAAGCAAAAAAATTTAAACTGTTAAATTTGAAGTACGCCAATGATTTCTGTGACTTTTATTTGATACTACCAAAAATTTCGAAAGCAACTGAAAATGCAAATTATATAAGACAGGTCCTTGATTAGAAAATCAATAAACCTCACGTGTAAATTATACAAGACAAGTCGACAATGGTCCGCTCTTCCTATGTTCATCAATTTTCAGATGACAGATTCTAAATTTTCTCGAAAAATTTCTAACATGTTAAAAAATGTGACAATTCCAACTACACTGCAGTCATCTTCAATAACCCAAACATAATTAACTCGATGTGAAATGGCCTGTACCATCACTGCCACCAAAGAACTTCCCGGATGGCACACTATTGCCTCTGCCCTTCTCACCATTCGTGCCGAGTAGCTGCTCGATCTGCTATATCGCCCTGACTTCGGCCTCATTGTTGTCCTTGGGGATGGCAAGTCATCGTCTGATGAAGGTATATGAGGCTCACAAGTAATGGTCATGAATTTGTCCAACATTTTCTCTAAATTTCTCTTCTTCAATCTTGCCTCAACATCCCTCGAGATTTCCACGGGGGGACCTCCACAGTCAATGTAGGCGATGAGGTCTCCTGCCGAGAGGGTAGCTATGGCGGACGTCACCGCCACGCCACAGGTGGCTAGGGTGGATGGAGAGATCTCACCAATCAAAATCCCATCGTCATCAACCACTGCCACTGAAGTTTGATCCACGAGAGAGCGAGAAATGGCCCCCACGGCCGAAGCTGCCGGGGAATGGTAACCAATGGCCAAGAAATCAGTGCTTATTATGCCAAGAGTGTCTATCGAAATCGTCGGAATTGGAGAGAATAGACCAATTGAACAGAGAAGGAATCTAATCACATCTTCTTGTGTTAGCCAACAGAATTCACAGCCGTTGTGAATTGTTGATGAAGATTTTTGTAGTTGTTTTCTTTTTGAATTGCTCCTTATGGGTACAACGAGATTTTGAGTACCTTGGAGCATCAGATCAATCACTTCAAGTAAACTGCAAAAATAATAAGATTGTTGTTCTCAAGAATTAAGCAAAATAATACAAATCCATATTTCCATGAAATCCAAAAGATAGAAACAAACAAGAACTAGAGAGAGAGAGAGAGTTATCCAATACCTAGAAGAGGGTTCCACGTGCCTAACCAGTCCCTTAACTTTTGACAGCAAAACAGAAACAGGAGATTGAAGAACCATAGATAGAGATAACAAATTCTCTTCTTTACAAAGGTAACAAATTATATCAACCATACAGATTTTGGAAATACAAAAACAGTCATTACTGTTTAAATTGCTCTTTGAGTGATCACAGCTCCATACACTGATGAAATTATCCTCAGAACCCTTGAGAGTGGCCACGGCGTCGCCGATTGTGGCGGAGATGGAGAGGGACGGAACCGGCGGCTTCCCAAGACAGAGGTCAGCTACCTCGTACGACAACAAACGAGCTGCCATGAAAATTCAGATCAAAAAATGGCAAACTTATTATGTTTTAAGATTCAAGTAGAAATGAACGACAGGAGTGTGTCACTGTGGGTGAAGTGGTGGTTTTATTTGGCTAGTCTATTTATAGCTGGGGGGAATGGTGCAAGAAGTACGAAAGTCGAGAAGCGGTCCATATTTCCGTTAAAATATTTTTTATACGTATAATGTTATGCACCCCTACCAAACTAGATGACATCGTTGGTCCATCTTTATCCCTATTTGATAGTCATTATAAGAAAAAATCGAAGAAAAATGATATTTTATATAGTGATATTTTTGGAGATGTGTTGTTAAAAAGTACGGAAAAGTTTTGAATTTACGTATACAATATTTTAATGTGTGCAGTGTTTTAAGAAGCTCGTTTAGACTACGCATATGCACCGTCTAAGCTCAAAGTTCGAGCAAAACGCCTCACTTCTCGTCTGGGCATGCTTTATTTGTTTTTTTTTTTTTTAAAGTCTTTTATTTGACTTTTACTTATTTATTTTTTTTAAGTTAAATAAAACTTTTTATTTGAATTTTTTTTCAAGTTTTTAAAAGATTTTTTTAATAAAAAGTCTTTTATTTAACTTTAACTTATTAATTTTTTTTAATTTAAAAAAAACTTTTCATTTGAATTTTATTTCAAGTTTTTAAAAGATTTTATCAATAAAAAAGATGATTTTATCAAAATAATTAAAAGATTTAAGGTATGATACTATATATATTGTGTAATTATGATCTTGAGACTCGTTATTTTGTTATAAACTCTAAAAATAATATAAGTTCTTATAAACATAATTAAGTAGGATTTATCTAGTTGAAAATTGAAATTATGTAATATGGGATTTATCTAATTGAAAACTTGAAAATTGTATGAATTATTAAGTAATATGGTATTTTATAATTATAGATGTTTGATATGTATTATTTTAATTATTAAATATTTAAAATAATGTTAAAAATAAGAAAATATTTTTTTATTCCTAAGCCTCGCCTAAGCTCGATTAAACTCGTAAAGCTTAAAGTTTAGTCTTCACGTCTAATCACGCTTTACGCTTTTTAAAATACTGATTGTATGAATGTGTAATTGAAAATGAGTATAAAAAATAAAGAATTTTAATATGAAGAGAGTCCAACATGGACTTAATTATTCAATTTGAATTCCAACTTTATTGAGCAACTTGAACCTTCACGGTATCTTAAACAAGTGCTAAATACAAATATTGTCAATAATTAGTATTACTCTTTTTTTATAATGTCTAATCTTATCCATACATAAAATCAGACTCTCTAATTTTTATTTATTTATTTTTTTTAATCTATTGGAGAGTTATAATTTGAAAAAAAAAATGAATTACTTTATGGTATGTGATGGGGTATCATAATTAAATTATCTATTATAAGTTTTTATTATTAATGTAATTACTTCTTAAATAAAGTTCAAATATTATAAGATTACTTTTTCTAAGATATAATCTTAACCTAATTTTTTTTTTTGTCTCTTTACCTTATTAAAATCTATTATTTGGGGCTTCATTCGGGGCACTACCGAGTTTCTTGTGAGTTGTGACTGAGCGCGTTAAGTGAAAAAGAGGAAAATAACAAACAAATGAATCAATCAATCCATCTATCAATATAAATGCTGCAAAATATTAATTTTCCGAAAAATAAAGTTGAATTCAATAATATAATCAGATGAACTCAACTAGTTGAACAAAACCTTGACACTTTCTCCAGAATATTAATCTCTCTAAATTATATTTAAAACGGGGTTTGCATTTGCTTTCAAAAATGAAAAGCGTCTTCATCTCGTTTGGCTTTGAAAGAAACTAGCAACTCTTGATAGTCACAAGGAGAGCATGGCTGGACGTGGATTGATTCGATTCTCGAACCGACCCAAAATTTTCGAGTATTTAATAAATGGAACCGTTAGGTCCAAATATAATTATGTAACAGTTCGGGTTCGATTCTGTTCGATTCGGTTCTATTCAGTTTCGTACCATAATTAATTTTTTTAACATTTACAGCAACACTATATAAATACAATTAATGACATGTTCATTCGTAACTTTTACAAATTAACATATCCAAATTTAAAAATATATAAATAACAAGTTGTCCAATAAGATTAATTCAATGTATACAAAAACCAAAAAGTGGATACTACTATTAAAACATCGATGATCCATATCAATAATTCATTTATTTCAAACAGCCTACATAAAGAAAATGAAATATAAATTAATAGTTATAAAAATAAAATATTTTTAAGTATGGTAATACTTACCAACTATTTGATTTAATTAAGGGTGGGCAAAAATCGACCAAACTCGCTCAAACCACCCAGACTGAACCAACTTGACCAGGTTAGGTCGATTTTTTTGTTTTTTTTACACAGGCTTGCTGTGTTGACTGTATATGCGAGTTGGGTTGGGTTGGGTCAAGTTTTGGGTTAACTCAAGAAAATCAAATAAACCCGCCCAACCCAACCTGCCACTTTAAAAATAATAATAAATAAATAAAAGAAATAAAATGTCTAGAAAAATAAAAGAAACCTAAAAATTATGAGTAGATAGTATAAATGTAATTACTTTGGTGTATTTTAGAGGAGCTTAATGTTCTTTCCACAAGAAATGTAGTATAAATTTTTTATGTTATGTTAAATGCACTTTGTCTTTTATATGCTCGCCTAATGAGCATTGAATAAGACAATAGATAATTTTATTTATTTATTTATTTATTTACTTACTATTTAATCTTATCTATTCGAATTTAATATAATACAAAATTGGATGACTTTAATTTTTGTTGACAAATCGTTCCAAACCGACCAACTCGACCAATACTTGATTGAGTTGGGTTTTAACCTTTACACGGGTTGGATTTGATTAAATTTTTGATCAAACCGATCTGTTGGGTTGGGTTTGAATTGAGGCAAAAATCGACCTAACCCAACCCATGCCCACCCCCTAGATTTAATCATCAATTGCTTGATTTATCATGGTAAAACACTCTACAAGCATAATTGAAAAAACACAATTAACAAACACAAATAAACGAAAAATTGTTCAACTAAAAAAAATTAATAATAAGATTTACTAATTTGTTTTTAAAAATTTTAATTAATTCAATATAAAAAAATTTAAAACAATTATTTAGATTCGATTCTAGATCCAAAACCGAAAACCGACCCAAACTTATAGAATACCCGTTCGGATATTTAACTTATAAAGAACCGCTTGGTTCGATTCGTTTCAATTCGATCTGATTCTGTTCGGGAGTTTTGTCCAACCCTAAAAGACAGTGAATATATAGAAAGTACATTATTATTATGTTTGAGATCGATAATTCATTGTCCCTATGATGTAGCTGTAGCTTCAATCGTTAACTGTTTTTATAAATTTAAATATTTTTCTAAACATTTTGATGAATTTCTCTCAAGTCTCCACATCGATTCTTGATTGTTCTACAATATTTTGGTCGATCGCTCCGGCTAACCCCCTCTGTCAAAAAACCCTCGAGAATATTTCCTCCATGAAATTTTTGAGTCTAAGAAGAATCTGACAGGTCTCGCTATTTTTTTTAATCATGCATATGAAATTTAATTGATTAAAAATTAGCAAGAAAAAAACGATAGATTATTGTACATAAGACTTGTAAATAATAATTAAAGGTTTAAAAGTAAAAAGTATACAACTTTCGAAAAAAAAAAATTAACATTGAAAACTACTCTATAAATAAATTGACATTTGAGACATAATAGAGAAAATGACATTGATGATATGATGTGCAGAAGCTTATCTATTATTTTCTGTATTTTTTATTATTTTCTGGGTTATCTACTCTCACCCTTATTCTGTCGTCGGGTCATTTTTCACCTAATGAGATAAATAAATAAATAAAAAGCAACAAAAACAAATAAAAGAAGAAGAAGAAGAGAGTGACAGTTTCTATTCCTGTTTCTTTCTTAAACTACAACTTTTAATCAAATGTTCTTAATTTAGTATTACATTAGGTTTTCTTTTGCAATTTCATCATTATAACTACTATATATTAAACCAAATCCAGAACGTTATAGGGAGGCGGCACAGTAGATGAATCGTGACAATGATACAATGTTTGACCATAAAATTTCGTATATTTACCGGTTAAGAATTAGGTAGACACAAAGTATAGGTGGAGGGTATGAGGTAGGACCATTGTCCCACAATTGTGAGAGAGAGGGAGAGACTAATTATGATCAGATGTGCAGTAGCTCATCTTATCTCTGCTTTCTGATTTTGACATGTTCCTTCCTTTTCATGCCAAGATTGGATGTTATCTCTTACATTTCAACGTAACATTATGGAATTCACTTACCTGATACGATTACTATTAATGTAAATTTGAAGAGAAATATGTTTAAATTAACTGGCCTTACTCCGTGCTACGACTTTTCTTCTTCACCAGGTCATCGTCAAATGGGATGTTTTTTGCTCAACTCTAACATCGAGCTTAGGCCACGTTTAAAGCCATAGTTCTGTCATTTCAATAAAGCAAGCAGTTGTTATCTAAAAGCGCAGCACCATCATGTCTTCAGTTTTATCTACCTTCTTGTTGATCAGAATTCAGAAATACAAATTATCCGAAAGTAGTCCAGGTAGCCATATGAACATTTTCCAATTCAAAGTAATGATTATCCACTGGCAAGCAAATGTGAAGCAAACGAAGCATACAAACTTAAACAAAATTTTAAAAAGGTCGAATACAACATGATGATGCTTAGGAGAGATACCTTCTCCCTCGGGAACCAGCAAATATCATTCCTTCCACATATCTGCAAATTCATCAACCTCCATGGGATTTTCCATCTCGTGCATCTTCCTTCTTGTCTTGGCTTTAACTTTCTTTGCATATTTTCCGGCCTTCTGCCTTTTCTCTAATGATCGAATCTGCAAGCACGTGCAAGAGAAAGACATTAAGAAGTGAATAGCAAAAACTTGCTTCAAGAGATGCCTTCACACAACAGCTGATTATTATGTGTATGCTATAGCATCAAAATAATTCATTAAGTGCTAAAAGAAGTTGCTTGTACTAGAACATAAAGTACTAGAATACAAAAATTAATGCTAGAAGAGCTAACCTGGTTTGGCGAAACATAAAATGGATTCTCGTATAGTGTTGGACCTCCAAAACTCCCACCAAATATCTTGATTGGGTTCAAACAAAACCTTGGACCAACCTATCCACAAGAGTTAGATGGATTAAAGTATAGACTACACACGTTTATCCCGTAATTGAGTGAGGACTCAGATACAAACCTCAACTAGCGTCATCTTTTCTAAGTCCCCATGGTCTATTTTTTGTCCTCCGCTATGAGGACAAGATATCTACACCAAAAGTAAAGACAATGAAATGGGTTTTTAGAAATATGAAACTAATTCTATTAAAAATCTCGAATTGACAAAAAACCTAATATGAGTCTCTTTGTGGTGTAGCAGTTTTGGCAACCTAAATTATATGATATTTTATAACTTGCACAATGCATTTTCTCTTTGTTTTGTGGGATGTGGGGAGGAGGGAAGGGTTTGAAAAGAAGATTCTTCTTTTACAGCTTCTGGCCACAAAAATGTTAGTATTCCATAAACTTTATAGCTCATAAGAACTCAAACCACTAGCACATGCTGATGCAAATCTTTGAGCATAACATTAGCAATGTTGACTTCCTCAGTGAGAGAATGAAAGGCAGAGGAAGCTAAAACTTTAACCATAGACAAATTAAGAAATCTGCCAGTGTAAACATAGAAATTATCAATACTTAGTATTAGAATTGGAAGGTACAAGAAAATTGTGCAAGCCTAGGCACCAAATGCTACTTAAGAGAGCAAATTGGGCAGACGCGCTTAAAAAAATTGATAGTACGAGAGGGGATCATGTTATCCTTTAATAGTATTGCTGATCTTTAATAAGGCAAGCTAGAAACTCAGAAAATTCTTTGATGTGCAAACCTATGCAACAACCAAACAAATTCGTATGAAGATGTGAAGATATTAAAGTGTATAGTAGACAAGACAGAAAACTAAACTAGTTGTAATTATAACTTAAAGTCATAGGAACATATATACTCAAAAATGTGTACGTCCCACCAGCATCACTTATGATAACTTTAATGATTCCAAAGGCAAAAGAAACCCAGCAACACGTTTAGCATACCAGAAACTCTTAAGCAAGGATAATGACATTAATAAGAAATATTTTATGGACAAGCATGCATGTGCTTTTGCACATTAAATTTTATATCAAGTATCAATTATGTCTGTGTGTGTGAGCATTGAATTAAACTAGCATAAAACTAATCATCTAATCAACAATCGATTGAGAAAGAAATCAGAATCTGAATGCACATCATCACCAACCTGATAATTCCGGAACCATATGTGGTCATCAGCAATTGAGAAAACAAATACATGATCATGGTAAGGTTTAGATTTTCTGTGGTCCTTCGGAGTGCCAAATATCTGAAGAGGAAAAAAAAAGAACGCAAAATTTTAGAAGTTAATTCGGCTATGACATAATGAACCTCTGAGCAACCAATGATAAAAAAGTAAGCAACCTATTGAATATTCGAATGGCCCACAAGTACTATCCACCACTCATTTCTATCTATTTATAAATTAAACCTTTTATAAATTCTTCCCAAAAGGAGGCTAAGATAACAATCTTTTAATAATATATGATCTGAAAAGATAGTACCATGAACAATCAAGTAACAATTATCTAGTTATATTCCTCTGAGTGTCTAATTTTTACATATAAACTTTCCAGCATATAAGTGAGAAGCTAATAAGAGTAATATAAAGTGCTTTATAGGAGAAAACGGTGCAAAGAATAGTGCTTTGAATAGTGGGAGGTCATACCTGTGTGATCATTTCCTTCAACAACAGCCAGTGGGGTTTCTTATCAAAATTAGATGAAAATGTCAGAACAGGACGAGAACCCTTCAGATGATTTCCAGTAAGCTTTAATTCCTCCATCGTGTGGACTTAGAACAAGAATAATATTTCAACAATTAACATAGCAAATATGGCTGTGTTGTTAAATCAGAAGAACTATGAATACAGGATTCAATACGGAGCTACATATCAGCGGCATTAATTATCTTTAACACCCAATACCTGCATTGACTAAAAACTTGACAGATGGACCATTGGGGCACTTGGCCATCCATAGATAGAGGTCTTTACCTTTCCTACACTGAAATGAAAAGGAGAAACTGCATGTGAGCCCATGACAAGGAAGATATGGCTAACCAGAAATTCATTCTATATAATCACCAATGAGACTTGGAAATCAGCAGTTTTAAATATTCACAAAAAATTATGACACAAGCCAAACCCCAATAGAAAATAAAAATTTACAAATTTCAAGATCCATTGATTCAATGTACATTGAATAATTAAAAGGGAATCAAATTGACACATCAAATTACAAAATTACCTCAAAAAACAAACAAGAGGAGCAGCTCTTGAGCTCGACTAGCTCATTCAAAGTCGCACCTTTACTTTCTTTGGACTCAACCTTGTTATCTTTCTTACAATGTGGTAAAAGGTCTACCAAGTTCAACATCAAATGCCTATACCTACAGTCCCAGCCAAAGGAAAGAAAAAATAGAAATCATAAACATAAATTAGGTAATAAAATTCCTAAAGCAGGAATGCAATAAACTTTGCAGCGTATGCAAAAATTGAGGACACTAGAAAAATTGAACCTGAAACTAATACGTCGGGAACAAGTGACCAAAACTTTCTCTTTATTTCTAAATCCCAGAGAACTATTTTGGCTCTTATCATCTTCACCATTGCTTTTCCATCCCAAAAGTGTTCTTTTGGGCCTTTCTTCCGCAGTTTCATCTTTCTTTACATTGGCCGCAGCCTCTGTTTCATTGTGTTTTCGCTTCTTTCCCATTGAAATCTATAACAAAAAAATAAAAAGTACAATTATAAGAAAAACCCAGTTCAAAATCACAATAAATCTGAGAATTTAGTAGTATGGCAAAGAGATGAGTTTTTNNNGCTATTGCTCGTTTTGCCTGCACTCTCTAGTAGTTATGGATGTCAATTGCAACACTTTTCTATGTTAGGACGTAATGCTAACATGTTTAACAAGAATTTTGTAGCCACCTTTAACTTTATCTTAATTACTGTATTTGAAAATTAATAAAATTTTTGGATATCATATCATCATGCAACTGTTTGTTGTTCTGTATGTCTCACGGGATGAAAGGTTCAAGACTTGAGTTATTCTAATATTCGATTTAATCCACCAGACTACAATTCGTGCCCTTTGGGATGATTTCCCAAAGTATTACTTAGGGGGTGTTTGACACCAGTTTTTGTGAAAAAATGTGTTTTTGAATATTCACCCACCAAATTTGACAAGAGTCGATGGCCAAAATCAGCAACTTGTCAAGCGAAAACACAACCTTCAGTGGCGATTTTCGACACTGGTGGTGGGACCCATGATCGCGAACCACCTATTTCGACATCACCTGATCACAACGCATCAATTCCACACATGGGTCTTCAACCATTTAGACTACATATGACAGATTGAACAAGGATTGTACGTGCGTGCGAGGAAGATTTTGGTCGTCGATTCCGACCAAATCTAATGGCATTAAAGCTAGTGGTTGGGTGGTGTATGTAGAGGGGAGTGGTGGATGTCCAATGGTATGGAGGTTCGGTGATTTAGTAGTTGTTGGCGGAAGATTTTAGGGTTCAAAGGTGTTGGCTGCCCAAAGTTTTTATTGGTTTTTAATTTTTAATCATATATTTGTGACTCATTTGTAATTTTTAAAAAATTTGAAATTGTGATTGCAATTAGCTCTTTTCTTTTCTTCTTATTTTATTTAAATAGTAAAGTATATTCGTCATTTCACAGCTTTTAATTGAGAAAAGTGGAAATTACACATATCCCTACCTTTGGAAATCCAATTTCTAAAACCAGATTTTATCTTTTTTTTTTCAAACGTCAGAACTTTTTAAAATAGATACAAATTTTTTATATTTAATTAAATATTAATAAAAATATTATAAAAAATAAATTATATTGGATTTCAAACCCTAATTCATTTTCTCTACCTTCTCTCTCACCCTCTCCTCTCTCTCTCCACCATTGCTGCCGCCTCCCTCCCTCCCTCCCTCCCCTCGCCGCTATCCCAGCAGCGCAGCAGTCTCTTTCTCATCTTGAAACCGCCGCCTCACCTCGCCCGCCCAATCGTCAGATCGCCACAGTTGCAACGGCGATTTGCAGTTGCACTCGGTGGGTTGCTGCAGCGGCGATTTGCGATCGACGGGGCCACGATTTGCAGTCATCTCCTCTCCTCTCCCCGGTATGGCGCTTCACCCATCCCTCTTCCGGTTCCTAAATCCACAGTCAATTTCATGGGCCGTCGATTAGGTGCAGCCGATGAAACTT